TGGAGGACACCCAGAGCGTGGACTCACTCTCCTCCTACTGGCTCCACAGACCCGAGCTGGTGGAGGACACGCAGAGGGTGGACTCACTCTCCTCCTACTGGCCCCACAGACCGGGGCTGGTGGAGGACACCCAGAGCGTGGACTCACTCTCCTCCTACTGGCTCCACAGACCCGGGGCAATGGAGGACACGCAGAGCGTGGACTCACTGTGCTACTGGCGCCAGGAAAGCCGGGCAATGGAGAACTCGAAAAGCGCGGACTCACTCTGCTCCTACAGGAGCCGCGGACCTGGAGCAACGGAGGAGACACAGACCGCGGACTCGCTCTCGTCCTACAAGCGCCCTCCACTCGGGTCAGTGGAGAATGCACAGAGTGCGGACTCACTTTTCTACTGTGGCCGTGGACCGGGGGCAGTGGAGTGGGCGCAGAGCGCGGACTCGCTGGCCTCTTACAGGCGCCGCGAACCTGGGGCAGTGGAGAACGCGCCAAGCGCGGACTCGCTCTCCTGCTGCAAGCGCCCTCCCCCTGGGGCAGGGGAGAATGCGCAGAGCGCGGGCTCACTCCTCTATTGTGGCCGCGGACCCGGGGCAATGGAGGGGACCCAGAGCGCGGACTCGCTCTTATCCTCCAAGAGCACTGGACCTGGGGCAGTGGAGAATGCGCAGAGCGGGGACACACTCTCCTACTGGCAGGGCCGACCTGGGGCAATGGACGAAGCGCAGAGCGCGGACTCGCTCTCCTACTGCTCCTACTGGCGTCGCGGACCCGGGGCGACAGAGGTTACGCAGACCGCGGACATGCGCGGACCCGGGGCAATGGAGGACATGCAGAGCATAGACTCGCTCTCCTCCTACTGGCGCGGGCGCCCAGGGGCAATGGAGGGGGCGCAGAGCGCAGACTCCCTCTCCTACTGGCGCCGCCCAGCTGTGGAGCATAGGCTGAGCACGGACTCACTGACCTCCTACTGTCCCCGCTGAGTGGGGCAACCGAGTGGGCACAGACGCGGGCTCACTCTCCTCTATTTTATTTAGAACAGAACTGTTTAAACTGCACTCTACGGGAGATTCTGGTCAGAGTTCCGAAGACCAGAAATGCAGATAGGAACTGCTCAGGACTTCAGGCCATGTGTTTTATTGCTTGGCAGAAAATTTGTCTGCAGTTTGCTCATGTCCAAAGACTTTGCCTGAGACTAAGATTAAAGGCAGGGGACTAATTTAGGTTGTGTAAGAAATTTCAAGGCAGTGTATTGTTGAAGTGGTGGCATAGTTACTGCTGGGGGACTTTAGCCAGACTTATGTTGAGAATCGAGAGCAAATGGCCTAGTAGAATGATTTAAAATGTGTTGAGTTTGGCCAGAAAGGAAGCTGCAATAAATGTGCGAACTGAAAAGATGGGCCAGAGGACAACTTGGTTGCTGAGAAGGAAGAGGACAACAGGAAAGATGACCTAGGGATATCACAAAAACCAGGATGACTCCATATTTTACAGCCACAAATTACAAGGATGAAAGATTTTTGCTTTGAGAATAGAGCCCCAGAGAATCGTATTTCAGTATGGGAGTGGCCTAGAGAACTAGTTCCTCAGAATTTGGTTCATATACTCAACAATCCGGGCCAAGAGTGAAAGAAGCCTGGCGACTGTTCCAGCTGGTGGCTGACTTTGGCTTTATCCATGGCGTGCTGGTTTAAGGTGCATGCAGAATGGAATCATTGTGGGGAAGCTAAAATTTCAGTGGAGACCCAAGAATGTTGGGGAAGCTAGGAACATATGACAAAAGCTACAAGGAGTGAATAAAGCTGGCCCCAGAGAGAAGCTTCGAGAACTGCAACAACATGCAATGCTGTAGGGGAGGAGCCACCCAAACCCCATCTTGCCGCAGACTGTCCTGGATGATAGACATGGAACTACAGGATTTAATGTTTCTCTGCAGGACTTGGACTTGCCTTGATCCTGTTCTTTTATGGCACTGTATAGTGGAAGTATTTAACTTTTCATTTGTATACAGGGCTTGCAGCTAAGAGTTTGCCTCAAATCTCAGAGGAGACTTTGAACTTGCACATGTCAGCAGTGCTGAAACTGCTAGGATTTTGGCAACTCTTGGAGACAAGCTAAATTCTATTTGCATAAAGGGACCTGCATCAGTCTTTTGAGGACCAGAGGTAGAAATGTTACAGCTTGTACCTAGATGTCCCTCCAAAGTCTCCTGTGCTCATAGGTGGGAATTTTCTGAGGTGGCTGGATTAGGGTGTGTGATACTGAGATTAAAGGTGTATGATTACTAAATTAGCCCACTGATTGGTTAAGCGTAGTTCTGGGTGTGGACAACAAGGCCCACCCTGGGTGTGGCTGCTGTCTCATTGCTTGCTGCTGCTTCTAGTGCTGCTGGTTCTCTGTTACTTCACTGCTTTGCTGTCTTCTTCCAACCATGAACTGTTTTTCCTCTGTGATGGCTTTCTGACATGGCACCCTGCCTTCAGACAGCCACCTATGGCTGAAAACTCCACAAATGTGAGCTCAATAAACCTTTTCTCCTTTAATATCGAGTGTTGAGTGTTTTGTCTCAGCAATGAGAAAAGCAGCCAAGGCAGCCCTCATTGTTATGGCTGTGCTACAAGGACAGACCTTGTCTCCTCCCGCCTCCTGGGCTTGGGGAGGCGAAGGCAGTCTCTCCTGCCTCTTTCTCTGTCTTCACATCCCTTTTCTTCTGTGTTTAATCTCCCTGTTCCTGTCTCTCAGAAGGACACTTGAGATGACATTTAGGACTCTGGTGGATAATCCAGAATAATTCCTCATTTTGAATGCTTAATTTATTTAAAATGTAGAATGAATAGAATTTGAGAAGGGAGGGAAGATAAAGGGGCAGAGGAAAAAGGGGAAAGGCCAATCATTGATTTAGTGTATCTGTCTTTTTTTTTTTTTAAGACAGTGTATTGCTATGGATAAGTTAGGACCCTCAACCTAGTTAGGACCCTCACCCTCACTCCAAGGTTCACTTTTTTTTGGAGCCAGGCCAGAACCAGAAGAAAACCACAGAACAGGTCCACCTGACTTTGGGCAGAAAGCCACAGCCGCCCAACTTTGACCTGGGCAGAAAACCACAATAACTCTCCTTTTTTTTGATTTCTTGTAATGCTTATTTATTTTTTCCATAATTTTATTGAGAAACAAATAGCAATGAGACAGTTTCAAACCAAATTGGTAGGACAGTTTTAATAACACATTGCATACTGTCTTCCTAGTGGTTATTTGTTGTACAAGATGCAGATATGATATCCTATTTACAAACACTATTAGAACAAATCCCTCTATCCATTGAATAAGAGAATGTAGCTATATATCTATTCTAACCATTTTGAATACACAAATACAAAATGGTCATTCATCTGTATCCCCCCATTTTTTGTTTAGTTCCATCATTTAAATATTATAGGTGTGTGAACTCAGCAAAATATTCCATGTAGTCCATAATAGTATTGGGTCTTCTGCTTGACTGACAATGTCAGAAGTTGTTGACCTAAGTCACCTACAGCTCAACATAATTTTTTTTTTTTTTTTGGCATGGAACCGGGGATTCAACTGACCAAGATAAAGCAAGCTCTATGTAGCAAGAATTGTAGCTTTTGTATCTGATAAGGTCAGTCAAATCCTCTCAGGAAGTAACTCTCCTTTGTTAACATCAAAAGCCCCCCACAGACCTGGTATCCCTGCCAAGATTAGGTCTCCCTCAGCTGTTCCAGCCTGCAGACACCCTTCCCACAAAACTCCTTAACAGCCCTGTGCTTTGCTTTATTTGCTGCTGTCTTGGTCCACTAGAGTCAGCCTTCTTACTCCTACCTCCACTAAATCTTCTTGCATCAGCATGCCTGGTCTGGTCGATTGCACGGGTTCACACTAAACACTACGTATTCCACACTGGCCTTATACTCATTGTATTGCCCAGGCTGGCCTTGGACTCAAGGTGATCTTGTCTCTGTCTCCCCAGTGCTGTGATTAGAGGTTCTATGCCCTTCACAGTGTATCTTTCTTGTAAACCAGCACATTTGGTGGGTGCCTGTGATCCCAGCACTTAGGAGGCTGAGGGAGGAGAATTATGAATTTGAAGCCAGCCTGGGATATATAGTAAGAATGTGTCATGAAACACAACACAACACAACACAGTAAAATGCCTCAGGCCAGGCATGGTGGTGCACACTCGTAATTCCAGCACTTAGGGAGGCTGAGGCAGGAGGATCACTACAAAGTGAATTCAAGATCAGCCTGAACTGCATAGTGAGACCTTGTCTCAAAAAAGCCTCTTTTTCTTTTTCATTTTTATTCATTCATGTGTACAATGTATAGTGAGTACATTCATTGTGGGGAGTTAGTATACAGGCATAAAATATTTTTTAAGTGAAAAAATTGTATTTATTTATAAACATTCTGAATGTCAACAAAACAGTTGCAACTTTATTTTTTGCAATTATACAGTGATATTCAGTTAGCAAAACAATAATTGTTTTGTAAAAGCTGTACCACACACAACTGGGGATGAAAAACTACCACCCCACATATAACTAATTTGTGCTGCGCACCAATAAGAACCTGCTTTAAATTTCCATGCCAATTTACAACCTCACATTGTACCAAGCAAGGTTAGTGGCTATTGAAAATACCACCAGGACATGGCTGTCTAAAGACACATTCGGTAGTGTGTTAACTATGCAAAAAGGACACTGTACAGTTTAAAAGCAAATCTTATAAGCCTTACATTTCAGTGTTTTTTTCTTCAAAAGGAGTGAATCGTGTACAGGGGGGCTAAATGTTTTATAGGGAAGTAAAAAAAATTGCACTAGAACCAACTTATTCACCCTCCTCCTCCTCTTCATCCTCCTCCTCTTCATCCTCTTCATCTTTTTTCTCCTCCTCTTCATACTCAACTTCCTTATCCTCCCACTCTTCCTTTTTATTGCTTTTTTCAGCCTTGATAAATCCCCTTTTTGCTGCATCAGATTTTCCTTTATCAATGTCCTTTTCATACTTTTCCTTTAGCGTAGCAACCTTCTTCTCATATGGCTGCTTGTCATCTGCTGCACTATTATTCCACATTTTTCCAAGTTTCTTTGCGATATCACCAATGGAGAGGGCAAGATGTTCTCTTTTGATTTTTGGGCAATACTTAGAACAGAACAAGAAGGCCAAAGGAGGCCTCTTGGGTGCATTGGGATCCTTGAACTTTTTTGTTTCTCTTTTAGGAAGAGTATAAGTTTTCATTTCTCTTTCATGAAGAACCTTGTCCACCTTTGCCATGCCTTCACATTTTCCTTTCTCTTTAGTAGACATGGTCTTCCACCTCTCTGATAACTGCTTAGAAAACTCTGAGAAGTTAATGAAAGTATCTGGGTGCTTCTTCTTGTGCGCCTCTCAGAGTTTGCACAAATAATGCATATGATGACATTTTGCTTCTTGGCTTCTTACAATCTCCTTTGCGCATGTTTACTTGTTTTCTTCAGTGAGGTACAGAGTCCCTCAGTGTCCACCTGACTCTCATTTGCCCTGGTGCTCTCTCTGTGGAGCTCAATGTACTGCAACGGCTGTCAAAAATCTTAATTCTTTTCATATCTTTTTCTCTTCCCTATCTCACTCTTTTCTAGTGAAATGTTGGCAAGTTGTGAAATAATATTCTTCTCTGACAAATTTGAAAACAGAACACACTACATATTATATTATAAATCAGGAATGTGAATGCTGTCACTTTCTCTATTTAGGAAGGAAAGTCATCTGAGTCGAAGAGGATAGAAATGACTTGTATTGTTGGCCTTTGAAGATAGTAATGCAGGTATTTATTAATCACTTTAAGCATCAAGATTAGGATATGAACAAAAAATAATGATACAGAAATGATCCTTAAATTAATCACATTTGCAATTTTTTTCCTTTGTTCTATTTTTTCCCAAATAAAGTCTCATTTTGAGGACGAAGAGATGGGGGTTCTCTGTGT